AATGGAGCTGCATTGCTGAGAAGACAATGCAGGGTGGTTAAAAAAAATAAAATTCAAATACATAAGTGTGAACTTCTTAAAATAGCAGGACAGCATAAACAAACACGCTATTGTTTTATGTTGAAAAAGAAAACCGTACAAAGGGTACGGGGCCATTGTTTTCTTCACAGAAGAGATACGGTTCAGATATTCAGAAACAACTTTGACTTTTCCGTGAACTGCCAGTGATAAAACCAGCTGTTAGAACTGTAGAACTAACAGCGTATTAAAGACAGCTTTCACTATGCATCTAGGTATTTTAAAATAGGACATACAAAGAACCAAAGACTTATTTTGTTAGCAGATAAGACAACGAATCTTATCTCTGAATGTGTCTGAAGCCTCTCTTGTGTGTACTATTACCTGCTGTTGAATGAAAGATCCTTGAACTGCATTTGGTTCCATTATGCATTGAACATGACCCCCCCCCCCTTTCACTAATGGAAGAATTGTTTAATTCAGAATTTGTCCTATTGCAACAGCCTAAAAACTAAGGTGACATGCTCCTGAAAAATTTGTTTTTAAGGGCAACATCAGAAATAGGGCAAGAAAATCTTAAGAAGCACTGAAAAATAAAGTTTCCCTTAACGTCATTTTGTCTTCAACTCCAAACTGAATGGTACCTATGTTTGGAAAGGACATCTTGACCTTTATTATCTGTAAATCCACTCTTACAAATCTTTTCCAGACAAGCAATTAGTTTCCGCTCAGTTGTAAGATGAAACATTACCAAAAATCAAAATCAAACAATTTTTTGAACAGCTGAACTGTAAAACAGTTTTCTAACAAAGAGTGACGTCAACATGAAAACTGCTACTATGAACTCATTAGCTAAGTATCAGTAAATAAGCACTGACCTTACATTTCAGACTAGTAAAGCCTTAAAATAGCACTGCTGCAGTCAGCGTATTTCAGGCAGAGGCTTTGTTTAGCAAAACTAAACTTCACTGATGACTGAACTAGTGCTGAACGCCCTTTAAATGCAAATGTTGCCAAAAGCAAATCACACATAGTATTGTTTTAGAGACAATAGTTAAAACCTATTCTCTGTCCTTTTATAATCCACTACAACATCGGGAGGAGGAAGTTCCCACCAGTAAAAGATTCAGCACTACCATTCTCGTTGGTTTTATGACTGACAGGACATCATTTGTGAAATGGTGGGCAATTGTTCTCAGAATGATACTGAAGATACAACATATGAAGGATCTGTGACTTCAGTGAGAAATTGGTACAAACCACCTTCTAATTCATACCCCAAAGAGAAAGTAAGTGAGCACAGAGACAACTGGGGCTGCACCATATTGTCCTATCACTGTATGAACCCAACACACTTTGACTGTAAAATAAGAGTTTGTGTTCAAACTAAGTGGGCTCACAAAAACCGTATCTGTTCTTTCTCTCTGGTATGGGCTATGGCATATTTTTAATTACCTGAATTATGAATTACAGGGTTTTTTTCTTCAAGTGGTCCCTCCACTTAATTTATCTAGATGTCAATCAGAATAATTTCATTTGTTTTTAGTCATTGTAAAATGCCAGTTCTAATGTATTGCACACCTTCCAGTTCCTGTCCTGAAAAAAAGGACATTCTGTGTCCTTGCAGCTTACTACACTTTTAGCAGGGCCATTCAAGTGCCTCAAAAACTTTAAAACCAAAATAAATTCAATGAGTTGGTACTGTTTTGGGAGGAAATCAGATGAGTGTAAAAGAATTAACAACCTCCATGGCTAGAAAACTGAAGCACAGAGATATTACAAGTTTACAGAGTTCCCTAATTTCTAAGTACCTAGTTCAAATCAGGCCTAGGGTACCACTGAATATTTTGGTATTAGGGCATCTACAATTCTCATTATCTTCAGATGAAGCTTTAACTGCCCACCAGTTCCACAAATCAGGCCCTTGTTTCAAGCCAAATACCTGAAAAATGAAGCACAAACAACTAACCAGTCACTAAAGGAAATGGAGTGACTTATTTAACATCACAGACAAATTCTGTGAAGCATTTAGTTTCAGGACACAATTTCCCAGATTACAGTCCACTATCATAACCACAAAACTATCTTCTTTCCTCCAGGTCTGTACTCCATTTGTGACTCACTTTGCTAATTTCCACAGTGAATAAAACAAGTGTCCTACAGACAATAGCCTAATTAGCCATCTATTTCTTGCACTGAATACTTTTTAATGGTGGTTATGTAGCGGCAGTCCTACTTAAAAAAAACCCAAATGCTCAAAACAAACCAGATGGAGACTTTCTTCCCTGAAAGCTACTGTAACCAGTATCTGGGAGATACAAGAGGGTAATGAGCTATATGAAGCAGACAAGCTTTCTCCTTGGTGAAAGCTGAATTGAAACCCTCTGCCTTCCTGCCTCCTGACCCACACAGCTTCCAAAAAGCTGAAAGTATGTTCACACACGTCATCTTCTCAAGCCACAGACATTTAGGGGAGTATGGCAACATCTATGCTGTCTTGTAGGAGAAAAAAACAAACACTTGAAAAATTAAACATTGTTAAAAAAAAAAAAAAAAAGCACCAGTGAGACCTTCACTTATTGTTTGCATATACAAAGTAGCCAGGAGAAAAAAGAGGCCCAAAAATGTTCACTGAATCTGCTCACCTGACTTAAAAGGCTTCACTACAGAATAAAATGCAGCAAAGAACACTTCCAGTCAGGATTTTGCCCCAAAGTTGTGTTCCAGAAATGGCAAATGCTGAGGCCTTTAAGTCAGTACAGAGAACTGGAGTTGTTCCTACTAATTCCAGAGCACAGACCACATAAGTGAGAACCAGAGGAACGCAACAAGTCACTGCTACGTCCAACGGTGTTTCCAGCTGACTTCTGGCACAGTGTAACAGAAACACTCCAAGACGGGTGACAGTTCCAACACACACTGAAACCTCATTATTGTTCCTTTAAAAAAAATATTTCCAAACACCTTTTTCTAGAAAGATGCTATTTTTTTTTTCAGTTTTTAGTACAGAATCAATTGTCAGATGAGTCAATGAAGTCCTAGGGGGAGCCACCTATCCCATTTTCTCTAGGAAAGGTAAACCCATGTGCAATTCTTACGTAGCTATATACAACCAAAAGGGAACCGAGAAAACCCAAACTGCAATTAGAGAATGAAGACAGGGTCCACTCCGGAGCTGCAGCTCTTACTGCAAGCTGTTATCGAGGGGTAATTCACATTGACAGAAGAAAGGCCAACCCAGCCTGTCTCGGCCTGGGGCCTGAAATGTCCTGCTGTTAATCGGGGCTAAGCCTAGTCTGTATGGCTGCGTTTATACTGACGGCTGAAGGGAGGAGGGGAAATGCAGGCAAGGCGCTGGGCTGGCCCTGGGGGATACCCTCTGGCGCGGGGGGAACCAAGCCCACTCCTCCGCACCGCCTGACGCCGGAGGCAGGCACTGGCGGTGGGAATCCACCTGCCCTGAGCGCTGCTCCGGGGCACATCCTTTGGCCTCCTTTCCCCGCCAGAGCCCAGACGGGCTGGCTTTGGGGGCCAGGTCGCGCTCGCCTCGGCCTGCGGGGCCCCCCCGTGGTGCGGGGCCCCCCCTCG